AATGTTATATTACTCATCTTCATCTCCAAACCTAATAAAAATTTAAAATTATTACTCATCTCTTTTTTTATATTCAATAAAAATTTAAAATCACATCTATTATCATCTCTGTATTTATAATATAATACTCATTTTTAGTTTTATTTGAATAAAAATTTAATTTTTTTATTAAATATGAATAAAATTGACGATCCCTGCAAGCAAGAGAAGTCTAAAACTACAACTTCAGTCAATTAAAAATATACATGGTGGTTGTTGGCTGGCCAGGCCGGCTGATAATGGTGGTTGCTAATAACCAATGGGATTATTTTTTTCATGGACTGTTTCCATTGCAGCCAAATGGAGCCTAAATTAATTTAAACTGCTAAAATACTAATGATGGTTACTAAGAGTCATGACATTTTTCAAAGGATTAATTGTTATTAAATTGTACAATCAAACGAATAATAAAAGTGTAATTGAGGAGACAGCTGCAGTGACACTGACAAAGAAAAGCATTTTTTAATCAACAAAGTAATCTCGATTCTCGTTGCCCTTAGCCACAGACCCACACATTGCAAGATATTAATGGTGGACTTATGACTGGGCCGTATGTACCCAACCTTGGGCCCAATGACTCCCTCTCTTGTGAGATTTGAGCAATTAAGGAGTCACTCCAGGGAGAGGTTAGCCCAGCCCAAAACGATTTACAATGAGAAAAGCCGAATTATACTTTCTTAAAAAACAGTTTAAACTACCTTTGAACAAATGAAGAACGAGAAGATACAACAATCATTTCAATTAAGGGAGCATCATCCATCCATCCTCATAAAACAAACAACGTAATAAAAGTCAAAATAGTTTGCTTGCAACACATTTTCAGTGTCAATGTTATTTAGACAGATAGGCCATTGGACTATTTTTGACGGTCCATGTAACCAAAACGTGAGCTATCAATCAGCAGTCCAACTCTGCTCCACAATCTCACGTACTCTCCTATTATATTCACGCTTGTTTTCACTAAACATTCGAGCAGCTTCTGAATTTGCAGGAGAATTTGGATTTGGATCACAAAGCAATGACTGCATACACAAATTAAAATTGGCTTAAAACATCAGGGCTGAGATAGAGAGGGAGAGAGCACAATAAGTGGTATAAATGTCAAATGCATTAATTCAACAATTTCATAAATGCTACGCAATCTCATAAATGAGATATGCAAAGATATTAAAAGGAAAGGTCTGATTCCTTCAAATGAATAACTGACAGGATCAGACAATATTTGTCTTGCCACCTGGATCTAAGACTCCACATTCCAGATTAACACAGACATACATGTTAATATCACCATTATAATGCAAGATTTTCCGATCAATAACAACCAGGCGCTGGTTGTCTTTAAAGCTTTGCAGAGGCAACCAATGTTTCCACTTCCACAATTTTCATATGGAAGTTTACATTATGAGGCAGGTAGTTTTAGAAGCATAGACTATGACACTTGAATTGGAATTAAGTTGTCTATTATTCCATGATCCTTTGCTGGCCACAAATGAAAGCATGAAGAATTATACCATACCTGAATAGATGTCAATATCGCTGCTACATCATAAATTGGACTCCACTGATTTTGTAGAATGTCCAAACAGATGCTTCCATCTGCATAAACTGAACAGGTTGCAGGATAAAGTAGGGATCAGATCAAGATCAGCTAAAACTGTAGCCCAACAAAAATATTCATAATAAATAAAGTTAATATAGATTTCAAATGAAGAAACCAGAAATTGAAACTGAACATGTAAACTCGTTAAGTCAACATCAGCTTAAAAGCTTTCATTGTGTGTATGGATATCATAGTAGATGGCTGGATGCCTGTGAAACAAACAACCAGCAAACGATGGCATCTGGCTACCTGAACATTAGCTCATGTTTGGAGATTCATAAATAAATGCTACATGAAGTCCTCCTTGAGTATCCATTATCCAAGTACGGGCTACTAATTCACAAGTCACAAGTATCACTCACTTTCCAACTATTAGGTTTACTCGCTCACAAGTATAGTCATAAAAGCATGATGGGTGACATAAACATTAACATTATAGTTTCACCCTATATATTACACTTATTATGCAAGAAAGGATAAGTTTATCGTACACAAATATGTCAAAAGTTGAAGCCTTTAATAAAAAATTTAAATACTGCATGGCATGCAAGAATAAATGAAAATGTAATCTGAAAATGTGGGTGTAGCTAAAGAATAGATTTGTCTAGAGGCTTACTGTTTGGATGGAACATTCGAGATACAAAACGAACCATTGGTGGCTTGTTTGGATAATCCTCCGTAAACTGAAGTGTCAGTTTAAACGTACCTGAAGGACTCAAAAATATCACAATAGAGATTAATTTATAGTTGTTAGCAGTATACCTGCATTCTATGATAAAAATATCCAAAGAAATACCTTAAATGATCCTGAAATACTAGTATTTCAAACTAAAATTCACAACAGAAAGAATCCTAGGGTCATTGAATTTTAAAGATTTCCACACGGCTCTAGTCCATGACAAGCAAACAAATCCACCAAACAACTACAGACAAATTGATACTTCAAACCAAATTATGCACTAGAATTTACTTTACCTCCATCCCATGGGGTCTCATCAGGCCTGCAAATCCATCAAGCAAAAGCATAAGCACAATTCTATTGAATCTTTATCTAATAAACAAGTGAAGAAATAGGAAAAACACACTCCACTCCTATTTCATCACATACCCAAATATAACAGCATTCCAGAGCATAATATTGTTATCTTGAGGAGCACCACTAATGCCTGCAGGAGGATCTTGTTGCAACCTCTTAAAATCCCTCATCAGTCTCTTCCTTGCTGGAGTTGACATCCTCACCGCCTACAAATTTAAAAGAGGCTAACCCATAATCAATACAAAGATGCACACAATGAACAATAGAAGAAACCAGAGTTATTTAACATAAACATCAGGCAGATTAGATTAAAACCAGAGTTCTACCACTAAACCAAGTTTATATCATCTGTTCGATAACTTCACATGCAGATTGACAAACAAACCTCAGTTTTTTACTTTAAGGTGAATGCAAAGACCCACTAAGTCATGAACTACAAGAGTTGGCAACTCTCTCCTACCCCATAAACTCTAAACAACATCTCCATGATTCAAAGTGAACACTTTCAACTTGGAATCTCAAGCCCTAATCATTGCGAACCATCAATTTGCATTTTGCATGCTCATCATATAGAAAAACATGATAATATAATTAGCTTAAACATAAAGCAACAAAGAGAAAAACCAAAGGAGTTATAAAGCAAACTTTTGCTTTTGAGTTTTGTTCTGGACACTGATTCTGCAGATCAAAACCATTAAACAATATAACTAAGATTACAGTTCATTTATTTAATTAATAACCATAAAGCGTTAACATCACCATGAAAATCAGCTAAACACACACATCTAATTAATATCCAAAAGCAATCCAACCTAAATCCTCAAATCTTACATAACCCGAGATCCATAACCACAATAACAACGATCAAAAAACCTAAAGCTTCAACATATCTAGAAATCAAACCCAGAGTTTCCCTTGCATATATAATTATGAGACACCAATCGAAGCAAAATTACAGGAAAAAAAAATCAAATCTAAGAAATCGAAAATAAAAATCAGAAAAGGGAAGAAAACAAAAAAGGACCTTACTTTCTGAGTAAACGCGGCGAGTTAACTAGGATTCTCCAAACGAAAGCTTCAGAATCACAACGCGTTAACAAAAGAAGAATAAAAAAAAGGACAAATTTTCCTTCCCAGGATTTGCAGAGAAAACAAATTATCAGAGAAACATTTGTTTATTCTTATTTTTTGATTAATTTATAAAACCGACCGATCAAAAGAGAAGATTTTGTTTTCTGAAACAAAGAAAGACAACGGTGAATTGGCTCAGGTCAGCGGTCCTTTATGTAGCTCAATTTTTTTTTTAATTTTTATTATTTTGTTTGGGTGGGCCCTTGGCTGCCAAGTGACTGGCCAAGCGACGCCATGTATAAATATTCCTTCGTGTTTTTTTTTTTTTTTTTCTTTTTGTATACAATAAGAATAAAATGCGTAATTTAATTCATTTTTCTAGAATGTTCATTTCTCAGAATAGAGAAAGATAATACTAAAAATGCTAAAATAACTTTTCAATGTGGACATAATTGAAAAGTTTAGCTTATGCAAAAATATGATCAATTTGTGACACAATTGTTCTTACACGATCGAAAAAGGTTAATATAGCTTTATTAAAAAATATTTTTTATTAAAAATATAATTAAATTAAATCAAATAAATATGTTTAAAATGTAAATAATATATTAATATTTATAAATTAAATTTAATTTAATTTAATTATTAATGAATTAAATTTAAATTTAAATAATTTGATTTATCAGTGAATCAAAATTAAATTTTTTAATATTTAAATTAAATAATTTATAAATTTAATTAAAATTTTATATTATATATTATTATTTTAATTAAAAATTATTATTTTATTTATATATATACAAATTTAAATTCAAATTTAAATATAAATAATTAAATTTAAAATCAAACATAAAAATTAAATTTATTTTTATTTTATTTTATAAATAATTAATTCGACTTTTATTTCGAATATGAATTTTAACTTAAAATTTAAACCACGATCTACCTGCGGATCCAATTACATCCTAGATATGCTATCATAAAACTTCATTTTCATAGTATGTTATGTCCTAATAAAATTGAGTGGCATCATTGTTTTGTTCTTCCTGTTTTGTCATGAAACACCAAATGGTAAAACTGGTAACAGGTGGATTATACAAAGAAGCACTCCATCAATACACTCAACACCTCTCAGCTTCATTACTTCCCAACAAATTCACGTTCCCTCCTCTCTTCAAAGCCTGTGCCAAGCTCAACTCACCAATCCAAGGCCAAATCCTCCATAACCATCTCATCAAAAGTGGGTTTTCCCGTGACGTTTACGCTGCCACAGCTCTCACTGACATGTACATGAAATTACACTGCTTTGAATATGCTCTAAAGGTGTTTGCTGAAATGCCTGACCGAAATTTGGCTTCGTTAAACACAATAATTTCGGGGTTTTGGAGAAATGGGTATTGTGAAGAAGCTTTGACAGTGTTTAAAGAGATGTGTTTTGGATTTTCGAGGCCTAATTCACTCACTATAGCTACCGTTTTGTCGGCTTGTCAAAGTTTCGAACTTGGCATGCAAGTTCATTCTTTGGCTATTAAGTTGGGAGTTGAATTGGATGTTTACGTGGCAACATCATTGTTGACTATGTATTCTAATTGTGAAGAAATAGTTCTAGCTACAAAAGTGTTTGTAAAGATGACTAATAAGAATGTTGTCAGCTACAATGCTTTCTTTTCAGGGCTTTTGCAAAATGGGGTTCCACGTATCGTGTTGGATGTGTTTAAGGACATGAGGGATTGTTCACAAGAAGAACAACCCAATTCTTTAACTTTGGTTTCTGTTATATGTGCTTGTGCAAGTCTTTTATATCTACAGTTTGGCAGGCAGGTTCATGGGATTGTTATGAAAATTGGGGTACAGTTCGATACTATGGTTGGAACTACACTTGTTGATATGTATACAAAATGTCGGGCTTGGCAATGGGGCTATGATGTTTTCAAGGAGATGAATGGAAGCAGGAACTTGATAACTTGGAATTCAATGATTGCAGGGTTGATGTTGAACAATCAAAGTGAGATGGCTGTTACACTGTTTGAGGAGTTGGAATTTGAAGGAATGAAACCTGATTCAGCGACATGGAATTCGATGATAAGGGGATTTTCACAGGTAGGAAAAGGATTTGACGCTTTTAAGTATTTTGAGAAGATGCAGTCTGCTGGTGTAGAACCGAGTTTAAAATGTATTACCAGTCTTTTGCCAGCTTGTTCTGTTTTATCTGCTTTAAAGCAGGGAAAAGAGATTCATGGGGTTGCTATAAGAAGTGGCATTAGTAAGGAGGAGTTCATTGCTACTGCATTCATTGACATGTATATGAAATGTGGGTATTCTTCTTGTGCACGTAAAATTTTTGATCAGTTTAAGTCAAAGCCTGATGATCCTGCATTTTGGAATGCAATGATTTCCGGTTATGGAAGAAATGGAGAGAATGAATCAGCGTTTGAAATTTTTGACTTGATGCTGGAGGAAAAAGTAAAACCAAATGCAGGAACTTTCATTGGTATCCTATCATCATGTAGTCACACTGGTCAAGTTGACAGAGGATTACAAGTTTTCAGAATGATGGGTAAAGATTGTGATTTGAGCCCAAATCTTGAGCATTTGGGTTGCATAGTTGATCTTTTGGGTAGATGTGGCAAACTAGAAGAAACCAAAAAACTAATACAAGAAATGCCTGACCCTCCTGCTACGGTTTTTGCTTCTCTGCTTGGTGCTTGTAGGTGTCACTTGAATTATGAGATAGGAGAAGAAATGGCTATGAAGCTTTCAGAGTTAGAGCCAGAGAATCCAACTCCTTTTGTGATACTGTCCAACATATACTCTGCGGTAGGAAGATGGGGAGATGTGGAAAGAATAAGACGAATGATAGATGACAGAGGACTGAGAAAATTCCCTGGATTTAGTTCAATAGCTATATCATGAAGAGGAACTTCTAATAATACCCGAAAAATGCTTTGACACCACCATATTCAAACTTTTCTGCATCTTCTTGGATTATTCCAGGTTACTGGAAAAGAAGTTTTGCCATTCAACATTTGTTTCTCTGGAAATGCATAGCTATGTCATTTGCGGCTGGAGAACTCCCTGAAATTTTGCTCTATTGCAAGCGCAAGAAAGGAAATAACAAAATTCACTGGATTTTGTTGAATTGAAATTACATGAACAGAAACTGCATATACACAGAAAGAAACGTAAACTGAATCAAATTCAGTTGCATATCTGCATCTACCTGGCTTGTGATCACAACAGAGACTTCACTGATTCAACATTTCTTTCACTGAAAACCCTAAGTGGCTATCAAAATAGCTTGGGGGTTCAAATATAAAGCAAGAGATCACATCTCTAAGAGTAATTACACCGACAACTTCATTCTCATTCTCAGCTACTACATAGATCCTGTGCACCAATTTGGTGGTAAGAGTCTGAATCACACTAGCAAGAGTTGAATCTACCTTGCATGTTATCGGTGGGGGGAGCCTGCCCAACTCCTGGCCCATTGAGACAACAGTATCCATGAAATCCTTCACTGTGAGCTGCCTGAAATTAAGAATCAAGCAGATAAAAACATTGTTCAACCACCGACGGTGTTAGATACTAAGTTATGGGAGAGACATACTACTCTTTTAATGGACTATAATAGATAAATAATTGATTTCTCTTTTAGCTCAGTTTTCTAATTATCACGTCTTGTTGGTAAAGAGTAGTTTTCCAACGGGAATTATCAAAATATCCACATATAAAATATGAGGTAGTGCTATGTGGCTTTAAAACTGCATGCCTTCTGCTATACCTGAAATTGAAGAAAAGTTCAGGTTTGAGCAGCAAGTGTCTGATGTCTCTCATGCTTACACTCCCAACAATCTTTTTCCTTGGCCCCTCTACTACTGGAAGACCACCAACTTGGTTGTCTTTCATTCTTTTGAATGCTTCCAGAACCAGGTCATCACCTTGGATGCTAATAACCTGACAAAGAAGACATATAAATAATTGAAGTTTCATATTGAATGTAGCTTGAAAAATACTTGATAGTTATTTGGAGTGACTGTGAAGTTTCACCTCATCTGAAGACATGAAAGGGAGTCCCAAATCAGAAATAGGCCGTGCAGAAATACAGTCAAACCAGTCCCTCCCCCTGCATCCTTCCAGACCTCCAATAACTGCAGATTGAGTAATGTAGTTCTTGATATCGGGCTCGCCTGGCTCAATTAGAGGTACATTTCTCAACTTATATTTTGAAAGTAGCAGTAGGACACTCAACATGGAACTGTCTGTTGCAACTGGAATGAAAGGAGCCGACCTGTATGATTTAACTATTGACCTTACCTGAAAAATACAAAATCATGTCTTGGGTGCCTTTCAAGATGGCGTAAAAGAAGAATAGATCATCATTCTGGTCTCCAATGGTGTTTCACATGGTCCCAATCAGAAATCTTTAAAATGGGGTATTTGGGGGAAGATTATCATTCATACTTCATAGAGAACAAAAAATAAGGGATTAAAGATTGACAAACATGGCCTTTTGCACCTGCAGAGCCAGTAAAAATGAATATATAATGGTAAATTGAACCCAACTCTTTGTATATATGATCAGCATCGCACCATAAAACTTACAGTGGTTGACTTGAAGGGTTCTTCTTGAAGGATAACTTCGTAAAAATCCTTGCTCAAGTTGTCAGCGGCTGATGGAGCATCTTTTCCTGCTGCTTGATCAGCTGCCACTGCCCCAGCCACAGCAGCTCCTACTGCTGCAACAGTTATTCCAGCAACTGCTGCAGGACCTGTCACACCTATTGGTAGTGCTCCAACAGCACCAACGGCTCCAGCACCTAAACCAGCAGCTGTAGCTGTGCTGGCTGATAAAGCAACAGCAACAAGTTCGGCACTCTCTAGTACCCAGAGAATGATGGCTGAGTAATCTATGATTCCTAAGTACCTTTCTCTCCAGTCCAAGCTAGTGACTGCATCTGGGTTTCTCACAGGAGCAGACAGGATGTTGCATTCCGATAGAATCTTAACGGCATCAGCAATTGTTGCGTCTGCTAGAATTTCAATCACTACAAAAGGATCGCCACCGCACAACTATTAGAAATTGTGGTATATTCCTTTACTAATGCCAAGTACATGAACTTAAAATTGCTTTAATTGTAGATGCAATAAAGTTTTTGTCATCACCTTTGCCTCCAGGAACTTGTGGGAAAGATGAAACAGGAATCCTCGTAAATGCATCTGTTAGAGTCTCCTGCAACGGTTGTGGTAACTTCTTCCTGGACTTTATCCTCTCAAAATAAGCATCACAGCTTGAAAGTGCTGAACTTTCCTTGGCTTCTTGTGCTTGTGCCATCTCTATCGTTAACACGCAGCATAAGTTGGTCACTATCCCAATTTGTACCTTCAGTAATAAATCAGTCACAGATTGACCCAAAAAAATAAGCCATAATTGCCCCTTGATCCAACATCTGTTTTTCTATCTGTGTTTTGTGTGGGCTATACAGCCTTTTCCAGTTGAAAAAAGTACAAGACTATCTTTGGAAGGGAGATTTTTGTTATGTTGAATGTAACCATTTAAGACTTCCATGAGATCAAAATGGTTTGATTAACATCAAAATCTATGAAACTATTCATTTAATTTGCTTTTGGAAATCCAATACATACTTGGAACTGTAAAATCTAAAAAACAAAAAAATTGTAAAACATAATCAGAAATTTGCAAGAGATATTAGCGTAAGAAAATGGTTCGGAAATCAAAGCTATATAAAAATAAACATCCAAGGAATGATTTGATATGATATACCTGCAGAAAATTTGCTCAGCAAATGTGGGATTGGAATTCACTTTCGAGTGCAGGGCGGATTTGGTTTATGCAATTGCACTTGCTAATGCCACGTGTAGCCATTTGAAACATGGCATGCTTTGTTGGTGGTATGCCACATGTTCTTAGAAATGATCTGATGAGCAAACTTGGTGGGCGGGCCTCGTTTTGACATAACCTGGCCCAGTTGCATGGATCTTCTGGGCTTGAATTTGTCTGTCTAATGTAGTATGATGTCCAGGATCTGTCTTAATCCAAATTTCTTTTTCCTTAATTCAGAGAGAAGAGAATTATGATTCTTGTTATTGTTACTGTTGCTAATTGCTTGGCACTGTTTACTTTTCATCTTCACATTTTCAATGTTTTGATGTAAAAAGTAAATGTAAAAAACAAATAGTAAAAAGCACAAAAGTTGTTTTTTTTTTTTTTTTGCAAATTTTAGCTAAAAAGAAAAAAAAACTATAATATGGTAATAGGTGTATTCACCTATAATTTTTTATTACAATTTTAAATTATTTAATTCCGATAAAAAATTATATAGGATTGATTAATTGTAATGCCACAATTGTAGGTAATATGTTTTTTAACTAATTTGTAATACCTAATTAATATGAAAAATACTTTTTTTTTAAAAAAAAAAAGAGGAATTAACTTACACTATGTAAAATTTTAATTTTACATTTTTTTATCCATAAATATTTTTTTTCTAAATTTTAATGTAAAAAAAAAAAAGAAATCATTATATTGGACACCTTTTAGAATTTAATTGATTAAATTTGATTTTTTTATTTGAAGTGGTCAAAATTTTAACTTTGATTACTGGAGTAAAACATTTGATATTCTATATATTAACATAAAAAAATATATGATAAAGCTGATACGATTTAAAATTTTAGTAATACTGATACATAAATTTAACATAAAAAAAAAAAAAAAGTCTTCCAACAAAATATTGAAATGGATAAAAGGCACAAGTTACGGCTTAAAGAACAAACCTTAATTCTTTTTTTCTTTTTGAACTAACCTTAATTCTTAAACAAATTCAGATGTTCGCCAAAGAAGTTGATTAGATAAATATAATTAATATAAACGAAATCCTGTCTAGTGACTATTTTCTCAAAATAAAAAGGAATTTTGTGCTCTCTACTGTCTACTTTCATTCCCTTGTCTCACTTTCTTCTCCATAATCCATGTAAAAATATCATTAATTGGAATCGTGTGAAAGTGAGGGCTGGAACCGTGTGAAAGTACGAAACATACATTAGTTAGCCTTTCCAGTAGCTCATCACTTAATATGATTGCTATGATCTGCAGGAAGATCTGAAGCACTCTTGGACGTTGGAACTGCCAATGAAGTTGGGAACAGTTGTAAGCTTGCTTGCTTTTGTTGTTGCTGAGGATTCATGGATGAAGATTTTCCCAAGTAGCTTGATGATGCACCACAGCCTACTTCATTATCTACAGCTGATGGGTGGGCTGTGTTATGAGGCAGTGACTCATTTCCACTAATATTGTCTCTTGGCACATCACCTCCATTTCCAACAAAGGACGTGAGAGCAGATGCTAAGGCAGAACAAAAGCTTGGATTTGATGTAATCGCCTTGGTTGCAGCTGTTATTGTCTCTGATAAGTAGTGTTCTTTAGGTGGTTCCCTTGCTGGATTCAATGACCCAATGAAACTATCTTTGTAGTTAGGAAATGCCCCAAAGGTAATTAAGTGGCTAGTGTTCCAAGATGTTTGTGGGTTGGAGCCTTCTAAAGAAGAAGAAGAAGGTGAAGAGCAAAAGTTGAGATATCTGGGTACATTATCAAGTCTACTGAAATACGAGGAGTTGGCTGATGAAGTAAGATCAAGAGTGACAGTGGGTTGAGAATTGGAATTGGAGATTGAGTAATGATATGGCCTTGAATTTTGGGCCAAGTACTTGAAGTTTAAGCCATGGAGGTTAGCAGCAGAAGATGTACTGGGGGCAGTAAATGAGGTCCCAACGTCCGGTTGTGAACTTGATGATTGAGACTGTAGCATGGAAGCTGCTGCAGAAGTGGTGGAAGCCATAGCTGTTGCACTTAGAGGTAGTGGATGGTTATGGTTCCCTTCATAGGTTGTGATCAAGATGGACATGTCCTTAGCACATCTTTGTACCTAGAATTTGACAAATATTATAAGCCAAAGAAAACTGATTAGATGGAAATTTTTTTAAAAAAAATCCATATTTTTTTAGGCTGATAATCATATCATAAATTTATAATAACTAACTGCAGATAAATGCTTAAATTTTATCTCATGATAATTTGAACAAATTTTCTATCATTGGTTTCCCAGGGATGAATAGTGTTGTTGTTGAGCAGAAAAAGGTTACTATGACAATTATATAAATATATACATATATATATATATATATATATTGCTTGTGAAAAGAGTTAATTATTCAATGATGGCAGCAATTCAAAGTGATGGCAAGAAATTGATTTTTTTTTTTGAAATTGACAAGAAATTAATTATTATATGTAATAATAAATTTATATATATATATTTGTCAAAATCATTGTTGGAATAGTATATTTTGTCAATTTTCATAGGAAAACCATCTTGTGATCTTAAAAGGATTCTTTACATTATGTTTGATAAAAAGACAAAAAGGAAAGGAACGAAAAAAAAGAATGTTATATTTTTTTATATGTTGCTGTCTTCGGAAGTTATAAATAAAACTATGAATATTTTCCTCCCATACTTGGAAGGATTAGATTTGAATGGAGAAAAAAAATGCATTTTTTTTGGCAAAAAAGAAAATTGTAAATTCACTTTTCATTTACTTTTTTTTATTTTCTATTTTCCTCCCACAAGTGAAATGATAATATATATATATATTTTTTTTTTTTTTCCTTCCGCAAACTTTCCTTCCCTCCTCTTTTCTCTCAGCAATTGCAAACAAATCTTGCTTTTAAATTATTATTCTTAAACTACGAAAACCTAGTTAATTGATTCAAGTTAAAATTTCAAGCCCATATTTTTCACATTTTCATCATGATCTTTTATTTCCAATTTTCCATGTTCAAAAAGCTGAATGTGTATGGCCATTTTTGATACCATTCCTTTATTGATGCATGCCTAAATGTGAGAGTTGCTGACATGAAAAGTATAACTTATAACAGAAGATTACTGGTTTCTTTTCCTGTGTAAAATGATGCCATAAATTCAAACTCCATATTATTCTTAGCACTCAGATTTAAGCTACTAATCAAATCATAGTACAAATAATTATTTGGATCAGAGTTTTCAACAAAGGCAGGCAGCTGATCATACCTGTTTTCGCACAGGACAAGTAGGTGAGACCGTGCAACGGTAGTATGCTCGAGGACATGGATTTCCTTTTGCTATTTTCTGTCCATATTTTCTCCATCGACATCCGTCATTCATCTGCATGTACAAAATTCATGAATTTTTTTTTTTATAAAACTGCACATTTTATTAATGTTTTCATTGCGTATGTAAAGATATTTTTTTATGTGTGCCTTAAAAATGCTTCAAAATATTAAGAAAGATAGAAAAATGAAGAGACAAAAGAAATACTATTTAGCAAATGAAAGTTTCAAATATACCGTTGGGGTATCACATCTAGCTCTGACAGACACCCTAGCTTTTTTCAACTGCATTTGCTCTGATACATTCATCATCTCCACTTCTCATGGTCTTGAGAATTTTACTTGGTAGCCATATCTCAGTTTGTTCCTCTTCCTCCGGTTTTACTAAGCTACTTTCAGAGCTTGGGTTCTTCTCAGGTTCAGTTGAACCAGCTGTCTCGAATTTGCATTCCAAGCCAAGTTCAAGTCCTTCAATATGATTTGGTTTCTCATCTTCTTTGCCATTAATGATCAGGTTGCTACTCTTTTTCTCTTCTTTCTTGGGCTCATGACTAACCGAACCTCTCCCCAGGCTAAGGGAGACAAGATCAGATTCTTCATTTGCTTGATGGCCTGAAGAAGCTATCTTGAAGGAGTACTCGTTCGCTTCTTCTTGCTGAAGAATATCAAGGAAACGCATCTGTAAAGACTGGTAATCCTTCACAATTCGTGAAAGTAACTGCTTTAACGCTTCATTCTCTTGTTTAACCTCTCCCAACTTGGCTTTGGCTGATTCAAGTAGATTGTCCTACGCAGGAAACAGAAATTGTTAATTAATTCATAACACAGTCTTTCAACAAGACATTATATTGAATTAAAAAGTTACAACAAAATTGTACATCCAAATTAAGTTTGAATGTACAATCTGGTCCTTTGGACTGACATATAATCTGTTGGATTTATTTAAATAGGTTTCCATTCAATAGCAAAAACGCCACCTGCATGCATACCCCTTGAGGATTAATTAGAACCTAGAAAAGCCTACCAAATTGATGTACTTTATTATTATTTCGTACATGGTGGGTGGGTATGCTCCATATTATTAATTTATTATTTTTAAAAATATACTCTAATGAAATATGTTTTAAATCTCCAACTTTGTTGATGAAACATATATTATGATAATGTACCATAAATTCTAATTATTATTTTGACGTTGATTATAAATACGCACTTATTTATTATCATTTTTTGGAAATAGTGCTCCAGTCCTAACATATTAGATAATTTATTGTAAATTAAAGAAGGGTAGGAATACCATATATAGCCAAATGATTAAATGAATGACTTGGTAAGGGGGGTAGTCAGGCATTTTGGTGATCAAGTCTACCACATGGCTTGGGTTTTAGCGCTGTGATCAGACATTGTAGGCCAGCAAATTGAGAAATTTTCAGAAGTTTATCTAATCTTGACCCAGATTCATGGATGCTGAGATGATACATATACATATACATGCATATTCAATGAAAGGTGCAGTAATTAAAGATCAGTACTATTGTTTTGTTTTAGTTGAACAACCCCATTATGCATTAACGTGCACAAGGAATATGCAATTTATTCAATCAGAGATGCACTCATTATTAACTCAGATATATACGTTGTCTTATGGAATAAAAGAATAAGCATGATGAGCCTAGCTACCTTCTGACAGAAGAAAAGAAAGAAAATAATTTCCTGAATGAATTTCAACGCTGAGCATTTATATACGCTAACTGTTCAATAGAATTGAGTTAAATGTTCAATCCTGATGAAGTTGTTTTATTTATGAATTTCTGATGATGTTCTTTTTATCTCTTTGATGATAGTTGAATTATCCTTTTTGCTAGCAGGAGGAGGCTCGGAGCTATCATCCTCTTGCTCGATCATCTTACACTTAAAAGGGAAAAAAAAATCATCCACAAGAAAGATCTGGTATCAAACCATCCCATTAATGGATTTTCTGGATTGTTGAAAATATTTGAAAATTTGTAGTGCAAAAATTATGAATATGTACCAAACTTCAAACTGCCAAGTTTAAAGTTTTGTTACCTTGCGTCTAAAACAATCCAAACCCAGTACACATCTTAAAAACCCCAAAGTTCTTCGATTGATAGATCAATCAAATTTTAAAGATTGAATTTGAAATCTCACCTATCCTTCTTAAGAAATCTAAACTTTTATAAGCATATATAGCCATATATAGGTAGCCAAAAACTTACCTTCTCTTCACCAAAGCTGCTAGATTTGGTTATCTTCTCTTCAAACACAAAATTTCCAAGAGCAGCAGACTTCTCCAAGTTGGTCTCCATTACTTTTTCTTGATGGATTTCTCTAATTTTCAATCTCCAAAAATGTCAGAACAGGGCATCTTATATGAGAAGAGAAACAGCCTTTCCAGGCTCCAGATTTTGACTTGAAAAAACAAAATTAAAAATAATTCAAACTACAGTGCTTATCTTCTGTATCTTTTACAATCCAAGAAGCAACTCTTTTCCATTCATTTTCCATATTTTTTTATTTTGATTTTTTCCCAAGTTGTTCTAATAAAACAACTATTCGATTTTCAACGTTTTAATGTAAAATCTAAAACCATATTACTCACATTAACGAAGATTCCTACGTGCGTGCATAATATAGGTCATGCGACCACCGTCATTTTGACTGTGGAGACCATGACAACTCGGTTAAAACCTTAATTTTTTTTCAGCTAATAGCCAATCATCGTTTTCCACGTCATCCTAACATGCGAAAAATTCGCTCCCTTGTTAGACCGTATACACTCTGGATGTTCGTGAATGCAGCAGTTTGACTATGATACTAAGCTAATGTGGAATTTTAGGGTTAGGGCTAAAGTTTTTTATTTTGTAGTTTCACCTAGAGTACTTTGAGGTTCAAATTATTAAAACTAAATAGCAAAGAAGGAAAATGAAGAGAATAATTTGATTTACCTCTATAATTATTTATAATCGAGTGTCAACCTTGAATTTAATATGTACATTATTATAATAAAATTCGTTCGATAATATATTTAAAGAAATAAGTTTAACTTTGTAGTTTTGCGAAATGTTCATAATGCAAAATTTTGTATATGAAAAAAAAATTGAAGCAAGTGGGGGAAACTAATTATAGAAAAACCATGTATGAATATATATATATATATATATATATGTATTATATGTAGACTTACTTTCAATATTGAAGTCAACAAAGTGTTACAGAAAATGATTACTTAAAATAAATAAGAAAACAAAGTTTTTGCTTGATTTAAAAGCCCTCTAAGGCTTTTTTTTTTTTTTGTTTGCATTTCTTTTTGGAATGTGATCTTGAGTTACACAATATATAAGAAAATTTTTTACCATCTTTTTGAATTTGAATTCAATATATATATATATATATATATATATTAAAAATATGATTACTTTTAATTTTATTCATTAACGAGATATCACTCCGGTTAATTTATAGTTTATAGCAATTAAAGGAAAAGATAGTCAAAAATCAGATTTGTTCCCAAATATATTGCTTATGATACCAACAACTAATATGCCTAATCTTCATAATGACATTAAATTGTGAAAAAAAAAATCAATTAAGCTGACTGCCACCTCCTCCCATTGGATTTTTATTTGAAAAACCTGACTGTGTTTCCACTCCAGAGATCCATCTTAATTTGTATTTTAAAAAATTCACAAATAAAGACCTTTATACCAAAGATGGGGTCATTTTCTTTTGTCATCTCTTGTTTATATTCAACCCTAACTCTTCATCAGGTGGGTATAAAGTATATTCAATTCTAACATGTTGCATTTTATAAGAATTATTTTATTATTATTTTTATCTAAAGTCCAATTAAAACAAGAAATAATATAATTATTATTTATTTGCTTGCAACATATAAGGGACCAACTACTCATAAATAAAAGAAGAGAATGGACCAATGAGCTGTTAGTTGATAGTTTTCAATGGATACACTTAATATAAGTCACCAAATAGTACTTATTTGGTGAAGAATTGATAGTTTTGTTTTATTCCAAACAAATTAAGTCTCTTAGTTTTTGATTAATTCTAACTGAGTACAAGGGGAAAAAAACAAACTAAAATTGTTATTAGAAAGAAATGGAGTTCTCTCATCCAGTCAGGTTTTTTTTTTTTTTTTTTTATGGATTTACAAGCTAAACTGCAAAAGAAATGAAGTTTTCTGGCTACAGATCATAACTATTTTTTCTTTTAATCTCACCTCCCTCCTTCTAGATAAGACATCCAAAAAAGCCATCAAAGAAATTCAATCTATCCAAAAAGCAAAGAAGCCGGAATTAGTAACCTTCCAAATTAAGCCAATATTGTTTATCAGATGCGTAGTCCTATAGCAGATGGTTGAAGTCAAGAAAGTAAGGAAGGAACCAACCCTAACCAAAAAAAGAATCTAGAAAATGCTTAAAATGGGGAATCATAAGAAGGGCCACAGTACTGTCATATGTGTTAAGCATGGGTGACTAAAACTATTCTTGTAGGACCGGTTCAGCCATTGGGGCTTAAGAGCTCCAAATGGTGAACAATTAAACGGGAACCAAGGTCTTCATTATGCTCTCATCCTTAAACATATTGCCACTCGAATACAGTAGTTTAAGCCAATGATAAAGCTTTTACCATTGTTGAGTTCACCAGCAATATTATATGCTATAAATATGTAGCTGACTAACAGTAGTTTGTAATACATCTAGAAAATTCATTTTGTTGAAATGTTTTAAAAAATATGTGGATTTTCTCATTTCAAATTGACAAATTCTAGTAGGAGGAAAACGAAAAAAAAAAATCCATTTAACTGATAATATTTATGATTTTTTTTATACATAAAAAAATTACAAATATTAAAATTTGAATCTCGAACTTATTAAATGATTACAATAAACAAATAAACTTAACTCCGAATTCATTTTATTTATGATTTTACTTTTTTTTTAATGTTTTCCTAAACTTATACATCAAAAACATAAGGAAGAGAAATAAATTTCATTCATATTTTTTATCTTTCCGGCCCTTTTTGTTTGTACCAAACGGTCCAAACATAACGCAATTGACCTTTTTTTTCCGATGCGAGGCCTATTGTTCATATTTTAAGATTATTTAAATAAAAAAAAGCCACGGATCGTTCTTTGGATTGGTCTTAGACTAGGCTTTTAAAAGCCCAATGCTCCATTTAATTTAGCCACAACGACGCCGTTCCTCTTTTTCCCCCTTTAAGGCGGTGACTTCATGAAGCGACGTCGTTTAGAAATGAATAACAAGTTGATAAAGAAACTTTATTATGTGAGGAGCGAGCTAAAAGTAAAACCACCGTGATCTCAGTCCCCTCTCTTCTCTTCCCCCCAAAATTTTCTGAGTCTCAACCTAAAACCAAGCCAAACGCTCTTTGGTAACATATCAAAAACACCGCCATGGCTATGCAAACCGGAGTCGGCCTTTCGAAGATCTTGATCCTAGTCGGCGCAGGCACTGCTCAAACTCACTTTCTCACTTCAATCCTTCTTATATTCTCGTTTTGTTTTCTTCTATTTGAATTTTGACTTTTCCGTTGCTTAATTTTCTCTTCAGGTTACACCGGTACGATCCTCCTCAATAACGGTAAATTATCAGACATATTAGGCCAATTGCAGGTTAGTTTTAATCGTCTCGCATGCCGTCTAATTGAAATTTGGATCCATCGATTTTTTTTTAGTTGATTAGGTTTTTTTATTGTTTATCTCTAAATTCTGGCTTTCAACTTTATTGTTGTTGTGATTTGCAGTCACTGGTGAAGGGACTGGAAAAATCTGGGGAGCAATCAGATGATTCTGATGCCATTCTAGCTCAGGTATATGGTAAAATAGAGCTTAATTTTAAACCTTTTGGTTGCGATTTTGATTGTTTTATATTAATTTATAGGTGCGTCGCTTGTCAACGGAGATTAGGCAACTGGCTTCAGTACGGCAGATAACCGTCTTGAATGGGGATTCCGGCGGTATTTTTTTATTATATTTTGCTTAAATAGTTGTACGCTTACACGCTTTAACATTCAAAAAGAAGTGAAACCCGGTTTGTCGTTATATTAGCTAGATTACACGAAGCATTATCTAAGAGGTTGTGCTTTAGCTTTTTCCTGACTTGGCAGGTAAGTTAACATCTCTTGTAATCCCAGCCGCTACGTTGGGGGCATTGGGTTACGGTTACATGTGGTGGAAGGTATGTTAATTATATATTGGCGTATTTTCGTTAATTATTGATATGGTTTCTTGTTTACTGTATAGTGGCTATGTAGAATTAACTATCTTTTTTATACAAAATAAAATCCCCCAACAACTGCCCTGCCCCTTTTGAGATATTTGCATCGACATTATTAATGCCTTTGGAGGAAATAAAACGGATACTTTTGCATACTGATATCCACTTTTTCTACAACTAGCTCTGTTTCTCTTCTTCATTGATGCCACTTGCTTTGTAATTTGACTGATTTGCTCTTTTTCCTTTGTTTTCCTTTTCTAATTACTAGGGCATTTCATTCTCTGATCTTTTCTGGGTAACAAAGCGCAATATGGCGATGGCTGTGGAAAACTTAACAAAACATCTGGATTCTGTCTCAGATGCTCTCTCTGTAAGTTTGTATTCGTTTGATTGCTTTTCTTTGTATATTTTTTACTTAAATGCTTCATTCAAGCATGTTTTCTGCGAACCCAAATGATTTACATGTCATGGTAGTTTATTTATTTTTATTAAAAAAGGAATTGGCAGGTCTAAGTTATTGTGCTTCATGTTGATGGAAATTTTGCCTTTTCTTAATGCCATAAATGGTGTGATAATTGAGTAGAAACCTAAGGCATAGTTTTTCTAAAAGTAAAAGATTTCATTTTTATTTACTCGCCCAGCACTTCTCTTGGTGTTAAAGTTTCCTTAAGGAATATGCATCTTCCAATATGTGTTGACCTAACTAGTTTTCAAATCACTTTTTATATTAAAAATGGCATACTAAGAAATATGCATACATCCTTTGATTAGTTTACAAATCTTATGTGGTCAGGCTGCAAAGAAGCATTTGACACAACGTATTCAGAACCTGGATGATAAAATGGAAACACAGAAGGAAATCTCAAAGGGTATTCAAGAAAGTGTAAGTGAATTTGTTTTTTTTCTTTTCTTCACCTGACCTTTGAAGTCAGAACAGCATAGGCTACACAACCTCATTGAATAAGGCCCACTTCCCCATCATCCTTCCCTCTTGTTTTTTTCTTGCGTTCTTATGATTTTAAGTTCTAAGAAAGGAGCAAAGAAAGTGCAACGTTGGTGTATGTGATTGTTTCAAATGCTTCTTATTGTGGAGTGGAGATTCATCTGCTATGATTTCAAAGATAATAAGTAGGTCCAAAAACTTTATTTGAAACATTTGAACTTGATGTTAGAATTTCAAGTTTGTGATGCTTTTTTTTTTCTCTTTGATTCTGAGCTTTGGATTCATGTCCTTGATTTCAGGGGTCATTAGAGGACTAATCAGATAGAGCAAACTCATTAATATTTTACCATCTCTAATGCTGTTCATATTTGTGAAACAGGTAGAAGAGGCTCGTATGAATCTTTCTAACATTGAATATGATTTGGATGCCCTGCAGAGAATGATTTCTGGTTTGGTGAGAATTCTTTTTTCTTCTCTAATAATTGTTGCACTTATTGAGAAGCGCTTGTTATATGGTGCTGCAGTGGTTGTGTGCCTCTTGTTTTGCTCTTTCATTTTTTCCTCACTTCAGAAGATGTTGAACTTGTCAATGAAGTCAACTGGTTCTTCTAGAAACATAGAACAGCTGCATCACTGGTTCTTCTTTTTCATGTCTCCATCTTCTTGTTCTTAGAAATAGTCAAAATTAAAATGTCATATAGGCCTTGAGAATATTTGAAGGTCTTATTATTTATTTATGTGTATCTGATTTGTTTTGCTTCTGTGATAACTTTTTACAATCTTGGACACTTGCAGGATGGAAAAATAGGTTCATTGGAATATAAGCAGGTAATAGTTTTTTTTTAACCCTGTACTTTGCAATATGGAAGTTGAATGTCTAATTCTGGGCAGGAAATTGCATCAAAATGTCGTTGTAACTGTTAAATTTGCAATATTTGACTGATATTTTTTAATTAAGTGGATTCATCATCTCCCCTTTGTCCCCTTTTCCTGTGATTAGCTGCAAGGTTTGTTGTGTTACTGATGAGAATGGATATGATATTTAGATTCCTATGCATCTCATCGTGAATTTTTTGTCTATGCAGTATCTTTATTGATTTTGTTCAACAGAATTTACCAACACAGTTTTTTGTGGCAGGATCTTGCCAATGCTGGTGTGTGGTACCTTTGTAACATGGTTGGTGGCAAGAAAGCTAAAATGCCTGAATCTCTGCAGGTTGGTACTAGTGTGAAGATGATTAGTTAGTTTGTTTTCACCTTTTGAGTTTACAATATAATGATATTTTGGTTCCATTATATTTAGTAATCCAAATGTCTGATTTGACATTTTCCTGCAGGAGCAACTTAAACATTCTGGGAGATCTCGTGCTTTACTCACACATTCTGGAACTCCAACTCTAAAGGTATCTTTCTGTATTTATGGAGAAAGTTAAAAATCTTGTGTTCTCCCTAGGTAATTATGCATGGACTTGCGCTTTCTACTTAAATCTGTGATGGTCAGATGCATTATGCATTGACCAGGTATATCGTTATTAGTTGGATGTGCTAGTAGCATAAAGTTTCATGTATCAATCCAGTTCATGTGTTCATTCTGCTGTAAAAATTTCAACTTGGAACCTTTTTTGGGTTATTTAATGTCTTGATGGAATTTAGAATGATAGCTCTAAATGTCTAATTTTGACATGTATATAAAGTTTTACCTGGTTTGTTTCAGGGTCTGAAAGACGTTGCAGATATCTTATCTGGAAGTATGAATGATTCAGGAAGAGATGCTATCATGCAAGATGGTATTTATAATTTGGTTGAAGAGCCAAGAAGCCTGCAGAGGTATGATTCTTAAATTTAGGAAACAGTTTTTGTTTTTATTCAGTTCACCCTAAGTTTTAACTTGGTGTGCCAAGTAGAAAACTTTTTTTGGAGGGCAATGTTTTTATTAATCTTGGGGCATGTCTTTATGGCTTTGATTTTTACGCTTGTTTTTGTTTTTTGGACTTTCTTTTAGAATTTTGTTATGCTAGAGAGCAAAAGAGAACTTTGGCCCGTTATGTTTATACTATTTGATATTTGCAGGAGCACTTCAGCTATGTGTTGATAGCATGTTCAGGACCATCATTTTGCAGTGCGGCAGTTGAGAGCATTTAGCCATGCCTATAATTAACATAATAATTCAAGTACAGAAGAAGATTTAGAGTAAACCGAAGGACAAAGGATTAACTTCGTATTTGTTTATTTATCCGTTTGTAACAATACTTATTTAGCAGTTATCCTGTCATATTTTCGTTTATTCTATTTTTAATATTAGGAACAATAAAAATTTTCCAACATTTGATTTTTTTTTTTTTTTTTGCATATTATTCTTTAGCAAAAAAAAAGGGGGGGGGGGGAAAGAAAAGGTATCTGAAAATGCAATAATGCATATTGCATAGTTTGCAATTTGTTTATCAAATTGCACCATATATTCCATATATGGACAGACTACTAGTTACCAAATATAGGATAACCAACCATCGGCAAAAGTTTGCACTGTCGGAAGACAATGAAATTTGTGAAATAAAACAAAAGCAATCCAATGCCGTATTGGTCAATTATCTATCACTCAAAACTAATTTGAACGAACTGCTAGCATCAGCTTTAAAGCACAAGGCGCAGAAAAATTTTTTGGGAGAATTTTCCCTAAGCTGGCTATAATACAGAGTGATTTTCAAAGTAACATCGAGATAATCCAATGACAAAAATTTTGACAAGTCTACTCTATGAACTACCTGCTCCACTCGTAGTCACCTCCAGATCTGGGATTGGCATTATTCAAACGAGTTGTCTCATCGGGTTTGCTGGAATTTGCAAAGGCATGCCAACCTAACAGATACGGTAAAATAAACTGCAGAGATAAAAAAATAAAACATAATTAAAAAAAAAACCAAATATATTGGAAAACAGTTAATGATGCTAACAACCTATGGACCAGAGAAGTCAACTATGTTCAGATATACGAAATCAGCTTCAAATGCCCCAAACATTTTTAGCATCAACCCTCTGTTGAAGAGTTTGGTCATCCAAATGGAAAAGAAATTGACAGGGGAAAGCAAGATGGGGCGTGGGATGTCATCTCCTAACATTTTTCATACAAATTCTTCAAATAAATTTATGTATGCTGATGTGCAAGTAATATTTGTTACGACATTTGCAGAAGATAAAAGAGAAAATTATTCAATCTCCTTATATGTCAATGATCTCTCAACTATATATCTTTTAGGACTCAAAATGTCATAATTTTCTGATACATGCTAACACCATAGATACAAAAGTTTAGAATGAAAACCGGAAAAACATGGAGAGGTGTATCATACATTGAATGCTGAGTTGAGGACAGTGAACTCTGCTCGCGTGATAGGAATATAAATATTTTGGTCCATGTTTAGAAGTTTGTTTTGAACACCTTCAACAAAAGCCATTACAAAGAAAATGAATCAGAGAAAATAACAATGTGTCACATATTGATTATAGTCACATGCAGCGTGGCAGGAAAGAGAGAAAAATGAGGGTGGGGGTTGAGTTTAAATATATGTCAATAAATATATGTCAATCTTTCCCCTTCTAACTTTAATGTAAACAGTCATTAAATGGGTTTTGATGCTGCATTACATTCAGATATTATGGCATCACAAAGTAAATATATTCTTTATTCCTGGGGAGGATTCAAGGGAATAAAGCATTACCAAGGTTAAACAAGTGGCCAGACACATCAGCGAGTGGCTCTACCTTTAAGACCTTCCTAACCTTTCCTTCCTCGCTGCAAAACACAACAATGTTGTTAAAGTTCATCTCAATTAACAACAGTGACAACTTTGCCTGACAGCATTTAAACATTACAGCACACTGCAGAATATGTTTTACTATAAGAAGAATTTTAAATTAAACTTACTTTCAAAAAGTACAGGAAGTAACTCAATCTTTACAGCCAAATTGTGAACAGTTACCAATAGTTGCTGACTTCTTGTGATACAAACTATAATGCCAATGATCCTAGATCTTTGGAAAATACAAGTAGTGAAATTTCTACCACAACATCTTGCTTCTCCACTTTCGCCACCCACCCAAAATAAGAAGTAATGAATTTTCCATGATTAATGGAAATAACTAATTGGAAGCATTTCTAGGCTTCTAGCACATTCAGCAACAATATCTGATTTTACCAAAGGCTTGCTTCATAAACCAACACAATATCCGGCATATGAAGCATTCCTCCCAAAAAAAAAAAACATATTCCCTGGCTGTATTTTGACTTGTAGTTAACATAAAATATGTTGTTACCATTTTTTGGGGACAATTTGACAATGGATTGTGACTCTCTAGTCTCTCATTTCTCAAATACTTCATTGCTAGAAGTGGATTCAATCCCTAGCATACAGAAAGAAAAATAGCATGCTATAATTCTGAAGTCATCCGATTGCTTTAGGTTTAGATTTTACAAATTCTTAGAAATGACTTGCCGATATTGAAGAAAAATCTTCTTAAGGAAAAATCTATTGCTTGCCTTACAGAGGCATTGATCCTCAATCTATACACTTTAAACATCTTCTTTCATATGAGAGACCACAAAGCTGAAATAAGAGTCGGGATATAGGATTTTAAGCAGTTCCCAGCACAAACAATATGCATCAGGAAGAGTTCAATTAGCAACTTTAGTAACCAATCTCCACTGACCAATGTCCAATATACAGAGCGGTGGGTGTGTGTGTATGTTGGGGGGGTAGTACCTTTTTCCTTTAAACGGATCATGGAAAAATTCACATGATTCCCTTGCACCAAGGCTAATTAGAGTTCCAATTTCTGTCACTGATAATGAGAACAACTGGAAAGAAGCAAATTAATAATGGATGTATCATGTCTCTAGTATGTATTCATCCTGTTATACAATAAAGATTTTACATTTGATTCATAGTAAGCTCATCCAATAAAAATACGAGAAAAGTAATTAATGTTAATTTTTAACATATATACATACAATGTCGTACAAGCTCCTCATTCTTTAAAATATGGGGGCCAAAATCATGCATGTTCATGCACATACAAATCTGTAAAGTGTTTTAAAGAAAACCTAAAGTGATTTTGAGAGCCCAGCACAAATACTTTAAACCTTTTAAGTGGTTAATAGAGAGTACAAAAGACTCAAAGGAAACAGAATACCTTTTAGATTGGTTCAGCTATAGCTATATAACACTAGCATATTTTGAGTGAAAACCAAATAGATATATATTTTTTCGTTCAACAAAGTCAAATAGTTATATTAGTTAGGCAAATCACCCAAATCAATATGATTCTGTAATTTAGAACAAGATTTTGAAACAAAGCTTTCCTTTGTTCTACCCTAATATTTGAATCACGGCATTTCTCTAAAGATTAGAAAGACCAACATCTCAAAAGTTATAGCTAATTTTTCAAAAAATTACATCCAAAGCCAGTTTAACATAAGATCACCTGCTTCCTGCTCCAATCATATTGTCTAACACCAGCAGCAGGCGCAAACTGTAGCAGCACGAAACCTGCCCTGGATACTTTAAATGCCCCTGACTGCACAGAAAACACAACCACCACCACCCCCAAGGAAAAAAACACAAAACAAACAAAGGAAAAGCATCAAAACTACATCAATTTACACCCATAATTACAGTTGTGATAACTAAAAATAACTTGGAAAAAGAAAAACTTTGAATGAGACTTACATCTAAAGGCACAAACTCAGGGGCCCTTGGCTCCACAGCGAGAGCAGCCTTCCCTTTGTAAATTGAATGACCCACATAAAACCTAGGCGGCAACCCTGCTGTCAAACCAAACACTTTCAACACTTAAAAAACCACTGATAAAAGGTACCACACATATTTTTCTAAGAAAAAAATGGCGGCTTTAGCTTTACCTGAGGGTGGCGGCGATGAAGTGGAAGAAGAGTTACTAAACCTCTGTTTCTGGTCGAAGTACTCAGATTGGCGGCATTTGAGAGAAAACTTGGAGGGTTTTAGGGTTAAAGAGAGGGGATTAAAGTTAATGGCATGGGTTTGGGTGCACTTGAGTGAAGAAAAAGAGTGACAGAAAAAAGGGCAAAGCTTGGTGTTGGAGTTGGGGTTGGGGTTTAAGGTTTGGGCATAGAGTGGCGGACAAGATAAGAATTGGAATTTCAGCATTCTTCTCTTTTTTTGGTCTTTCTTTGATTTTCTCTCTTTCTTGAAGCTTTTAGATCTCTTTCTGAAATTTCACAGAAAGAAAGTGAAAAGGAAAATCCTCTAAACTTTTTTAGTATCGTAAAAATTTACAAAACCAGCTTTTTTGGAGAAAAAAAGGTTTTTTTTAATACGTGGAATTTGAAAGTGTTGTCAGGTTGGGGGCTTGTAGGCCAAACGTCAAGAATAGAAAAACAAAAGGTGCGGCCTTTTCTCTTTTGGCTAACCACGGGGGCTTCTCGAACATAACTTCTCAGTCAGCAAAGCCTTTTAACTGATATATACATTTCGTTCGGCTTTAATTTTTTTTCTACTCTGAATTTTACATATGCAAATGTCTTCACTTTGTCCCTGCTTTTGACCTCTCCTTCCCTAATGGACGTGGAGTATTTCCTGGTCATATTGTTCCCCTTCATTGCTGTCATTATTGTTTCCCAAATCAAATTATAAAATTCATTTGTGGGGTGGGGAAATTATCTATTTGTCTTGCCTCATGATTGTATTAAACAGTGTTCATTATGTTTCCAATGGTTGTAAGCACTACATTGATTGACTCCGAATTTGTTAGGATGTTCTAATCTGTGTTTCCTAGAGAACATTATGTGGAAACTTAAAATGATAGCATATCATCATGTAGAGAAAGTTAGGGAGAGTGATGCAGCAGCTTTCCAAAGAAGATAAAGAATTAAACATGGCACTCTTTTGTTGCCAAATGCAAGGATTCATACAGCCATTCTCCTTTCCACATGTAGTACAACTGTACAAGTCTTCAATTCTTTCGTTCCTTGGTGATGATACCATTTATCTTTGCATTCCATATACATGAGTACAATTTATGATACAAAACAAAAGGATTTTGAAAACAATGGCGGTTGTTATTTAATGTAAAGAAGGTAGGTTTAAGGCACCATTCCACGGGACTGCCCTGTTTTGTTATATAATGGCAAGTTATTTTCTTCTGATTCTAAACCAGGCAAGATTCCTCTGCTGGAGGAGCACATAAAAGGGACGTGATCAATTTCATTATAGAACATTTCTCCCGCTCCATTGTTATCAGCTATCTCATTCAGCTCCTTTGTGTCGTTCTCTTCAATTTCATCAAAGTTTGCATTCAAGTTCTGCTCTACTAGTTTGTTAAACATTGAAGACCTAAGCAGCAGGCTAAGTGCTGTTGGGGGCGATGACTTGGCGCAAGGACTACCAGGGGCCTTCTTTAGCAAAATATCTTGTTCCTTTGGGCTGTCTAATGCTTCTACTGTGAAAGGATTGGAGCTGAAGAGAGGTAAGTCATTTGTCTGGTCAGTTGGAAAAAGGTTAGAAGATGTTGTCTTGGTTGTTTTAAGTTCTTCAGAAGCGAGGGCACGATTGGCTCTAGGTTTTAGCCTTCTGATGTATGTGCTTAGGTCAAAGTTGGTAACTGCATTGATCCCTCTATACTCAATTGCTGCAATATCATAAGCATGAGCAGCCTCCTCTTGTGTACCTACAATAAGATGCAAAAAAAAGTATCAATTTGCAGTTCTCTCTAACCTTAATCAGAATCAGATCAACTAGTTTTTTAGTTCAATTATGGGGCAAGAAGCAAGTAAGAACAAATTGAAAGCATGAAAGTAAAAACTCACTGTATGTGCCAAGATAAAGATATTTGTTTCCAAACACCCTCCCTATTCTTGCCTCCCATCTCCCATTGTGATGATGCCTGCAATGCATTTAGTAAAAGTTCTTAATATGAACTGTTTCCTTATTTTCAACATTGACATATGACAAGACTCTATCTCTTTTCTGCTTACCTTGCAACTCCTCTAAACCTGGAAACACCCCTTGAGAAACCGCTGCTTCTCCTATAAACCAAGATTAAAAAAAAAAAAATCAAATTTCCATTACATCACAAATTTTGAAATAAGAAACAACCACATCTTGGGAAATCACCTTCTTAAAGAGGGTAAATATTCCTCCTTTGTTACACTTTTTATTATCTCAATTTCCTTCTCATAATCAGATACCTGGAAAATATATCATATATGCATTTGACCAGATATAAGATTTCATGCCACCCAAGAATTGAAGAGGACTCCAACATCAGCACGGAGTAATTGCACCGGAAAATTAGTGAAAGTAGATGTTCCCCAGTACTTGATAGCAGCCAAATCGTAGGCTCTAGCCGCAGATTCTTCTTCATCATAAGCTCCTGATAGCATAGCAACCTCAAGAGACAGTGAGTTTTCCACTAATTTTTTTTTCTTCAGAGCAAAAATGGTTTTCATCAATTTAAGTACTCACCAAGATAAACTGCTCTATCCATCAATTTCGTCCAAGGTACAACCAGATGACAAATTGAACAATCAAGATGCTATTAGCAAATACAGCATAACAAATAAAATTGCAAAAACTTGCGCATGTTAAGAAATCGGTTTATATTAGTAGCATACCTTGTTTTCCCTTCTTCCTTTGTGTTGGATTCCAGGAACTTTTATCCCACAAGTGAGCTTCGAACCTCCCAGTCCATCGATGTCTGTTGCAGCAGGGAATAGTGGGCCGTCATGTTGAGTTGATTGTGAAAGCATAATTAACAGCAAAACCAAGAGAAAAGAGCATGTAAAACCTGCTGACACCCCGGAATCTTGAACTTCTCTTCACTGTAGTGGCAGTAGGTTGATCACCTTGTAATTGTTGCTGCTGTTGTTCTTCTTGTTTATTGTTGCAGCCTAGTGCACCAGTGGAGGTATCTCTTCGGCGTCTCTTAGTACACTTAGTCTCAATAGTGTCACTTTCTGCCATGCGCAAACGACGTCTCCTCCCACGGCTTAATTCAGACTTTTCGGTGACCATTTCCGTAATTCTGATCTCACTATCAAGGAGCTATAGATAATTGATTTGGTTGCCGGACAATGAGAAACTGAAAACTAGTGTTTAGATATATAGGTGCCGCAACTTGGTCTTTTACATATTCTGGCTTTTAGCTGTTGAAATTGTCTCATATGTTTAGGACAAAACCTTTCGATGCTCATAACAACATTCAGAACAAAACAATAATTTTCAGAACAAATTGAAGTGTCTATACTCTGGTATATCCAGCCAAGAAGGAACTACAGTGTCAGGACTGTGACGAAGGCCTCGGCGTATAATCCATCTTCCATATTCTACAACTGACTCGACCATGTTCCCCAGTAATTACAAGGATCCAGACGACTTTGACATATTTATTTAATCCCTTCTTAATCCATTTCCTGAGTGGGATAGAGTTTTACCTTGTTAATAATGTTTAAAACTAGATAGTGAATATATTATTTCACGAAGTAATAGCTCTTATACTCTCTCCCCTCATTTTTTTTTTCACTTCAATTAACTATCGAGTTCCATTTTTTAACAATGGAACCGTGTTTATTGAACTGTTGTTTGAACATTGTAGATAGACAGAGTGGGAGAAAACAATGGGAGGTGTAAGCTTTGGGAGTGGGGGGAGCAAAGCTAACATGTCTTCTATTACAAAATCAAATTTGGCATACTCTTGATAAGAAAATGCAAGTTTTTGTCACCTGGGATGAATTATGTCAAACAGGAAACTTGTCTTCTGTGAAAATTATATAGTAACAAAATGGTATGTTTGGGAATTATTGTTTTATGTCCGGTTGTGCTTAGGATTTTCCATCGAGGAAAAAAAATTCATTAATCATCTACTGCTTGTTTTGTTTACATTTTCAGATTCCAATTGAAGATTCTGACAAGTTTCTGTGTGGGGGCAAAAATGGAGTTTGAGTCCACCACGGAGCTCTTGAGGTTGAGGGCGATTTTTACAATAAAGAAGAAGAGAACCTATAATATTCTCTCATTATTGACATATCAATGACTTTTTAGTCTTAGAAGTTAGAACTTATAGCCATGCTTTTGTTAACAATTGTGTATGGGTAATTGTGGTATTCATCTAATTAAATCTATACATACCACTATAATTCTTTCTTTTACGTACACTTCCTGCATTTGCAATCAAACTCTTTTTTTTTTTTTCTGGACTTTTCATCTAAATTAAATGTTTTTTATATTATTAAATATATATAAACATTTGTAATTTATTTTATAGTAGTATTCAATATGTATAAGACGGAGTATTTCTATACATCGCGTATAGAAAGTCTTTGTCATTAAGATGCAAAAGCTGATCATATTAATTTATAATTCATAGGAGAAAAACAAGAAAGAAAAACAAAATTCATTCATCGTAGGCAATAGAAACATGTGATTTTGAAATGTTCTTCCCTTGCAACAAGCCCCCATTCAAAACTTTTCCTCTTCTTCCCTCTTCCCCAAGATTCAAACTGAATACAAGGAAGAAAAATGGAATACAAGAACAATTCCCATTCACCACTTCCGCTCCATGTGTTTCCTCTAGTGCAGTGATTAGAGTAGGCATAAGTATTAGCAAGGCCGGCCCCGGATGCAGTCAAGTGATCCAGAATGTTTTGTGAGTATAGGCACCATATAACCAGGCTTAGCTGACAGCATAGTGTTGCCTGCGTATTTTTTGCTGGCATTTGGATCTCCAGATTGAGTGAAAATTGCCCCATTCACCATCACGTCACCCTCTGATCTCCAATTCCACGACTTCCATACTTGCGGTGGTGCATAATCCCTCTTGGTTACCTTCACCAATATTTACCATTCATGAATATTTCTTTAGCAAGAAATAATAGATGATCATTTTATTTCTAACTAGTAAAATTAACTAATGGAAATGTGACTGGCTACCTCCTTAGCTGCCATGTTTGGTGGAGCAACAAATCGGTTGCCCTGGCTGATGATGGTGGGGTGGCTGCTACCTCCAATGGCATACATGAGCCAATGAGTATAGTCATTGTTGACCACATGGATAAACCCCCATCGGCACCTTGGCATCCTTTGTACCAATCCTTTACCGAAGTGGGTGAAAGCAACAGTGATCTGCATCTTCTGATCCTCAGAGTAGCTGTCACTTGCCCCAAACAACATCACCTGCATTACCAGATCAGGTGAAATTATTTGTCATCCGAGCTTGTTCAACTTCTTCCGAGAATCAATAGTAAGAAGTTTTTAATTTCCTGGGATTTTAATATTAAACTTTTGATTACCTCATTGTGGTTAGTGAAATGGCAGTTGGAGATAGTTATGGCAGTTGAAGCCTGAATGGCATCAATGATACCATCATAGCAATTATACATGGAAAGATGGTCAAGCCAAATGTTGGTTGCCCCGAAAACAGAAATCCCATCACCATCGCTCCTTGTCCTCAATCCGTAGTGGTCTTCGGCATCCCTGATCAAGCCGCCGCTGCCCGGAACAATGTCGTGAATATGGAGGCCATGGATAATGATGTTCCTCACAAACTGGATAGTAAAACCAGCCCCATAAGCCACATGCACATTGGCTCCCCTAGCATCGATGGTTTTGTTGCTTGTCATAATGAGCTCCTGCTTGAGCTTGATAATCATACTTCTTGCGAAGACGATCCAGAGAGGCCGCTTTTGGATCACAGCATGACGTAGAGTTCCAGGTTTAGGATTAAGCAAATCATCATCTGAAGGATCTGTCACCACGTAAAACCTTCCGTTCTTTCCACCAGTAGTACCACGGCCAAATCCAAGGGCGCAATCAGCGAGTCTCCTCCTGTTTCTTGCCCAGTTAGGATCACAGCGCCAGCATTGATCAATGGGGTTGGTTGCCTGGCAGGGACCGCCTTTCCTCATTCCCCTCAAGTGCCGTCTTGTGCTATTAAACCCCATCAAGGTCCTTCATGCAACATAAAAACAAGTAAGCCATGTCAACTTAAAAAAAAAAACAATCCAAAAAACATCATTACTTGAAAAATGGCATCTAAAATCTCAAACTCTTAGTCTTATACCTGGCAACATGGTGGTTGAAATGCTGGGTGACTACCTCAGGATTGGGGTTATATGCCTTCTCGATATGTTCTTTAGCTTCCACTTCACGTTGCTTCCAATAATCATCATATTCAGCTATGTGAGCTTGCAGGGTTGGGATTATGTCAACAAAGAACAAGAAAAAGAAAAATAAGCTAAAACTTCTATTGCTCGCAGCCATGTTTAGCCCTTTGTGCTCCAGGTTTTGGATTTCAGCTTTCTGGTTCAATCTGTTGGCAAAAGAAAAAGAAAGTCTCAAGGCCGAGTTCCTGCAAACAATTTGTTGATTGCATACAGGACCAAGACCGGGGACAACCTGTGCCAACAGGTTGAACTTACACAACAAGCGATCTTCGCTTGGCCTTTTCGGAGGAGGAAATCAAATTAGAAATATTACAGGGATTGTTTAAATACAACAAGAGAAATCCTAAAATAAGATAAAGAATTTTTCCTGCGACGGGAAAGAAGGGGAACCGCTAGGATTTCAATTCTTTGTAAACGGTTAGAGTTTACCGAAATTTGAGGTGAATTCGCATGCATATTTCTATATATATTTCTATACTTTCAAACCAATGCAATATATACGGCGGTCATCGGAAGACATTGGGATTTTCAGTTACTATTAACGTTGTTGAAAAATTCATCATTAAGATCTCACTCCCTTGGTCCCTCTATTTGATAAAAATGAAACCATATTGGATGGAAAGTATTAAAAAGAAGTAGCTCAATGTTTGTGTTAGAGGAAGCACAAATTTCTTTGACATTTTTGACTAGTCTAATACTCTGTACTTCACAGAAGATAGAGTGACTCGATGAACCTGTTTGCATGTTTCATCATTTGCTCCATTATCAATAAATTTTTCAACTTTCATTATGGAAATCAGTATTTATTTTGTGTCTAACCAAATTAATTACACCAATAAGCTAGGTTTCTCAAATTTCAACTCTCTTGGTAGGAAAGTGATAGACCGAAGTGTTCTAATCACATGTTTTTGCATCTTCATGAGTGCATTGTAGTAGAAAATTGCATCACATCCATGTTTGTGTTTGATTATTTTCAAATGAGGCTTGAATAATGGAAACCAGGCTATCAAAAGACAGGATAGCTGGAACGTAAGGCAACTAGAATTTAGAAAGGAATAAATTGAATTTTTTATTTCATAACAAATTTATAATAGTACATCCAATTTGCAAGACAATTATTTCTTGCAAAATATTACAGATTTGGCAGAAGGTAAGAAATTGCCCTTCCACCATTATTTTCAAGACTAGTAAGGCATTATAATATAAACTATAGCATATAAGGGTACATCTCCTTCCCAGGTCGGATACCATATTTCCCACTTGGACATCAGCTAACTGGCTCCAGTAGTCACCAGGTGTAGCCCTGGCCTTAGTCAAGTATCCCATGTATTCGGGTAAAAAATAATACCAATGGCAAGAAAATTCTTCAACTTGATTTAAGATAGAATGACAGCTTCATGCTGGGCATTCCAATAGGATATATACACTTGGCAACATAAATAATAACCATGAATTACATTATGATGCTTCCCAGACCTTGTAATCCCTCCCCTCAAGGACTGAGGACCATCTTTCGGGTCCACTTGGTGGCTCATAATAACCTGGTCCAATCTTCATTGCAACTTTTTCATCGGTGATGGCTGCATATACATCCCTCTCTGCCTTGACAATTTTAACCGACCATATACAATTCAATATATGAAGTCAATAGTTTCTTTTTCATAATCTGCTTGTCAATTTTTAACCTGATTAGTGATTTGCCAACAAAAAAACTACCTAAACTCTTTTTAAAAGTTCAGATGAAGAGCAGTCAGGCAGCATATTTATGGTGGAGATAAATTAGAAAGCAGTAACCAATTTAGATTCATATATTCTCCTTCGCTTTGTTCCTGAACAGTTAAAAGTAATCCATATAGGCAAGGTAGATGCACTGGGATCAGTCCAGGCAACGCTTTCCAATTTTTCACATTCCGTATATTGGAAATCTACTTAATAATGTTGATATTTACTTAACCCAAAATTTTCTCTTCATAGAGTAGATGCCTGACAAATTGCCTTAGTTCTCAAGCATAAAAGAACAGAAAATTGTTTGGAAAAGCTTTCCACATACATATGAAGAAGATTTTTTTATACTTACTGCACTCCGGCAATGGATTTTGTTTCTGTTTCTGAGAGATATAAGAGCAGCAATGTCAGATCGACAATGGGAGAAAATGTGATCATAGAGCACAGCCGGTGTTCCTGGGTGCGTCAAGATATAAGCATACCCTTGCATTTCCTTTCCATCTGGAAACCTCCAATGACCCTTCAGGAGTAGTGCGAAAAAGGATTAAAGGATAATTAAATAAAAAATAAGTTCAACAAACCAGGAAGTAGCATTATAGCAAGGTCTAAACAGGAATCTTTTTCTATCCTTGAAGTTTGGGCTACTCTAAAAAACTAGTTATACTTAGAGGGATAATGAACCTGCCTTCTTTCTCCTCCAATGAAAAAATTACACAGGATATATATGACACCATTATATTTGGCATCAACCATCTATTAAGGTCTAATACTTTCTCAGCCTGACTTAATAATAAGTTAACTTCAAAGTATAAAGAAATAATAACTTGCTTAAAGCATTAAAACAGCAACAGCTTTATTTAATACTTGTAATACAGATTTGTCAAGAAGAATCATCTAGGACTACATATTAAGAAATTCCTAGGACTGTCTCCTGAAACATCATGTTTATATATGTGAATACTGCTCTCTTCTTCAATAAAATGTTTAGAATTAGTAAAGTTTTAACTGAAACATAGAAAAAAATAATTAATTCTCGTAGATGAGAAAGATGAAGACGAAGAGAAGACAGAACTCCAACAACATCATCAAGCCTCAGTTTTCATGAAAGTTTTGTTTTAACAAATGCTTGATTTGGCAAGCATTATTGTTTCTTTCGATTACTTCAGTTTAGAAAAAAATGAAAAAGTGACAGAGTGAAAGACTCAAGTGATATTCAAACCTGTGTAGAACCAGTGTCATGATTTTCTATAAAGGTAACAGCACGAGATGGCCACCATCCAATAACCCCAGGAGGCTTCCCTTTCTGATCCAATAATCTCCAATAGTGAAAATATATCATGTGCCTTACTACTATAGAAAAGAAATTAATAGAAATAATGTCAACGGAGGACCAAGTGCAAGGGCCAGTTTAAGAACAAATCATTTCTCTGTAAGTTTTTCAACCTCTTAAATGTTTAAATGATGCCTCAAAAGCTTGGTGAAATATACCAAGAAACACACCGGTTCTCAATTTGTGGGCTGAGAGAGGGAAACAACAAATACAAAAATTGAATAAAATTCTTTAAAACTGTGTTCATGAAAACACTTAACAGGAGAAACTTTGATGAATGCTTACTGCATGAAGAATCCCCTTGGTTGTGACATCAAATGCACCAGCAATTCCATTGGTAGCATTGATCCAGTCAATAATTCTCTGTCGGTGAGCATCTTGATTGTGGTCCATTTCGCCATATGTGTAGCTGAGAGAATCCCAGTACTCACCCACAGCAAAGTAAGGTTCACTAGCATCCAAGTAATCCTTAACATAACCACCCCAAAATCCTCTAACAAAATCCAGCCTCCAACCATCATAACCAATTTCTTCTCTACATGTCACAAAATGCCAGCAAAATGTTCATCAACAAACTATTGCAGTTGAAGTATATATTCTGGAGAAATTAATAGGAAGTTAATCTCTCACATCATGTAGAAGCACACATACAAAGCTGAACAGATCATGATGAGGTAAGAAAATGTGCTTGAAAGAAACACAAGAAAACTCGTTCACTAATTCCTGACTATAAAAGCTATATTCAGCTCAGCTTCCATGGAATAAAAATTACTACCAATGCAATTGTCAGAAAGTTCAAGAAACAAAGAAAACAAAAGTTAAAATAGTTGCAATGTAAAATATGGGACATTTCAAAGCAAATCTCCACAGAAAAGCCAAGGAAATGGCGATTGAAATATAACTGCAGCAGAATAGGATGAGGGTAAGATCTTACATATCCAGCAATCCATTAGATTTTGAACCAGCTTAAACAATTGAGACAATCAAATATCTCAAACTACACTTACAACTGTGTTTCTAGCTCAGTTACGTATTCATCCTATTGCCAACATCTAAAACAATATAAACAATCAAGTATGAAAATATTCATAGGTTCAATCAATAGTTTCTGAAAAAGATGTACAAGTAATCGAAATCAATATACAAATAATCGTTATTTTTGGTTGAACCTGTCTACTATATAAATATTTCACAATAACTGTATAGTTTGTATTCTCAATTTAGTGGGATTGAAGCAAGATTTTGACACAAAGTAAGGTGACTTTTGCAGTAGTTCCAAACCAATTTCAGAATAGTCAGTGGGTATATCCATCCGGGTCTGTCAGAGAACTTTTTTCAGGGAAAGAAAAAAAAGCAAAAACATGATCACACACTAAGAAAACACATGCTTTTGTAATCCTTTCATGCATGTTAGATGGTGGAAGGAAATGAAATTCAAGTTTCAACCTCAGCCAGCATAGCCATTCTTCGAGATCCTTCCTCACAAACTCTTGTGAATGATCAATGTTTGGAGCGGCATGGAAATTATCTCCGCTACTTTTGTTGCCCCTGCCCTGTATGACAGAAACAAGAAGTTGATACATTCCAGAACGCCAATAGTGCAGATGCATAGAGTTCAATCAGAAGATCGCACAATATTAAGCACAAAATAAACAATATTCTTCAGGTCTAACAAAAATCTGGAGAACATGCATAAATACAGGCATGAAACAAACTGAACAAGTTTTGCCCTATCACAATCAAAATTATAGGTAAGATATATAGGATCCGGATGCTCAGCTACCACCTGAACCAACAAGTTCGGATGCATACATCCTAAGCATGCCAATTATGCAACATTTAAACTTCATTTCTTCATCCAGATAATTCTGTTGTGCGCATGGATCCCAGAATCAAATGGCAACAAATCTATCTCAGCACGCATAAAATGTAACCAAGATGATAAATCATAAACTAAATTTATTCATTCTACAAAGTTAACGCCATTAGTATTGCTAGTAGTCTAGTTCAGTAATCGTCGCAGTGGGACATGGTTACAGTTGCTAACTTGGTCTTGCAACTGATCTTTCTGCTAGAACAAAAAAAAAAAAAAAAATGAATCCAAGTAATACCAAATAACTCATATGTCTGATTGTCATAACGTATAGATCCGTGAATCTATTATTAGATATGGATTAGAGGAGTCGTCATCGATTTTTTTTTGTCTAGCTGTGATTGGT